AAATTCAAAGCCGTTTTCCTCGCCCTTTATAATTTTATCCACACCCCTTATTGTCTCCAAGCCTACGTTAGCTGAGAAAACGGCTTTGAATTTTTCCAACACCAATTTGGCAAGAGGTCCCTGCGCTTCTATAAGCCGCATGGGCATGTGTATTGTAAATGCTATAATCACTTTTTTAAAGGTAGAAAAGGCAAAAAAAGGCAACATCAAATGTGTATATATGGAATCAGGGAGAGCTAAATCGTGGACATTCTTAATCGAATATACTCTATCTCTTTAGCAGAAAAAAATTCCATAAATTCCGTAATAAAATCCGTTCCCTGGTTATAACGAATTCGAAATATATACACCTTATTTTGGTTTTAAAAGTTTTTTTTTAGCTCTTAAACTTATAAAATTCGTTGTTTTTATTAAAATTGCGGGAAATGGTAAAACAACCCTAATAAATGTTGAACTTTAAAAAAACCAAGATTTTCATTTTAGCTACTATTAGTATTATTCATGTCATAATTCCTTGGACATACACACACGAAATAATGGCAATTTTTTTCTTGGCCGTTTTCTTAAGAGCTGCATACTGGCCTTTAAAATCAAAACGTGTCAAGACAGATTCTGAGTATACAAAAAAATTATGCTCGACTTTTTAAACTATATATAGAACCGTGGTATATTAAAAAGTTTTTTATACGATTTTTTAGTTACTTATTTGTATTTACTCGTAGTTTATTTTACCGAGCTTGAGCTCAGGTTTACCATTGTTGACTAAGGGCCGGTTACTCAATGTCTGGTTAACACTAATGTCCGGTTAAACATTGTTATCGACGTATTCGATTCCATTCATATAACAGGGAGTCGGTAACGTCGATAAAGGTGTTTAACCAGAGATTAGTGTTAACCAGACATTGAGTAACCGGCCCTTAATAGTTTATGGTAATGATATGATGAAAAGCTTACTGATGTATGAACATAAATGTGTAATTGTCCTAATGAAGCATATTGTAACTATTTTACAATTAGAACACCCAAATCTTAGTAAACAAGCTAATAAAAGTATAATTTAAATTGATTTTCTAGGATGAACCACTTAATTCCTTCCTAAATTTGGGTGATTGTAAAGAACTTGAAGAATACACAATAAAATGTATTAAGGACAACTGCTCGTACAAAGCGGTGCATACCAATGGCGAATTGATTGGAGTTTTCTTGAATGGACTTCTAAAGCGACCCGTAAGTATTATTTAAAGAGAAAAACTAATCATACCACCAGTGTTGCCAGAACTTTTTATGCCGACCAGCTATATTGGCAAAAAAAAACGGCTAAAATGTTTCAACTAAAATTCACATGTTTTATTTGAAGAAATCGCAAGTAGAAAGACTATTAAAATCATACTTTTTTTTAGTTAATAAAGGTTATATGTAGCTATGTAAGCTTTACCCCACTCGTTAAATAAATCACAAAAACAGAGACTGGTAAATTCATTACAAATTATTTTTGTTTAAGAAAAGAAATTTTGGTTGTACGTACATCAAAAGTCATGTTTCTATTACTTTGATATGTATAAACAAGTAATTTTTAGCAAAAAAAACGACTTAAAANTATGTAGCTATGTAAGCTTTACCCCACTCGTTAAATAAATCACAAAAACAGAGACTGGTAAATTCATTACAAATTATTTTTGTTTAAGAAAAGAAATTTTGGTTGTACGTACATCAATAGTCATGTTTCTATTACTTTGATATGTATAAACAAGTAATTTTTAGCAAAAAAAACGACTTAAAAAATATATATGTATATATATTTCATGATCCAATGATTGGATCTAAACCAGATTAGTATGGGACCACTTCTGACTACCTACCTTTCCGATGCAAAAAAAATCGTCGAAATCGGTTGACGTGGTCCAAAGCTATGCGGTAACATACATAAAAAAAAATATTCCAACGAACTGATAACCTCCCCCTTTTTTGGAAGTCGGTTAAAAAGAGATCAATTACAAACTTATGGCGTTTTCTTTTTTATTGAAAATTTTTTCCTTACATTGTAACATTTGCACTAGGTTACTTTTCGTCCTGAAATATGGCTATATTAGTATAGAGTATTTTGCTTAGTCGGAGGGCAATATTTTGAGAAATGAACACGTGAAGCTGTGAAAGGGCTGAAGAAAACAAGCCAACATTATTTCGAGAAAAGATAACGCCATTCATTTATATCGAACAAGCCGGTCGCTTTTTACGTTTTTAATAATTCAACTACATATTTAATTTNTTTTTTCCTTACATTGTAACATTTGCACTAGGTTACTTTTCGTCCTGAAATATGGCTATATTAGTATAGAGTATTTTGCTTAGTCGGAGGGCAATATTTTGAGAAATGAACACGTGAAGCTGTGAAAGGGCTGAAGAAAACAAGCCAACATTATTTCGAGAAAAGATAACGCCATTCATTTATATCGAACAAGCCGGTCGCTTTTTACGTTTTTAATAATTCAACTACATATTTAATTTTATTTTGATGTCCATATATTCGAAACTCCTGTTTTTAATGTCCTACTCACTCTCTCACATGCCTGTCTGGGAGCAATAATAAGCAACAATAAAGCATGTTGGCACCATGATACAATTATTCACAGGTATTGTCTTCCCATAGAGTGCTACGGCTTCACTCATCATAACAATTTTATATTTTACAGCTCTCTTGCACTCCTCCAGATTTTCGGTGACTTGCAGCCTTATGTACGCCAAAAGTTCCAGTCCTGGGAGCAAAGCGAATGGACCAACATCGCTTTGGGAAGGAGCACCGTACCATTGTTGACGTTACCGACACAATGTCGTGTGCGTGGAGTCTGTGATGTACTAGGTAACGATGATTAACTGGGGATGAAGTATCGAGATGGTGATCGCCAATCGTGGTTATTGGACGATGCCGGGATGCTCTGGAACCTTTTCTGTTGACACCGTATATAAATCCATAGCCACGGTCTATACAACACGCATTTATTCGAACACATTCTTCTGCACGTAATATTGGAGTTCTCAAAAGTCGTTTTCNTAGCCACGGTCTATACAACACGCATTTAATCGAACACATTCTTCCGCACGTAATATTGGAGTTCTCAAAAGTCGTTTTCAGTGTTTATTAGTAACCTTGCTGTACAAACTATGAAAGGTTGTGAAAATAATTAATAAATGACTGACTGAATTTGACTATGAAGAAGTTGAAGAAAACGATAGCGAAGTATGTAGATTGTGAAGTAGAATAATTTGCACCAACAGAAATTTATTTGAAAAAGAAGCACAAATAATTGGATACGAAATTGCGAATAAAATTACCCCTATTTAATTCAGTGCATTGGGGTATAGTCGNGGGTATGCAGTTACAGTTGCATGGCTATACTCAATCCCGACTCTTGCGTCCTCGTTCGCGCACTCTGGGCAACGTGAGCAACCCATGTGCGAGATGCGGTAACCAATCCGAGTGGAGCCTTGGGTCACGGCAGAGAGAGGGAGCTTCGGTGGGGCCACTCCGACTTATTCGGTTTAAGGGCTCACTGAAGTCTGCAGCGTCTGTTCACCAGTAGGTGCGGCTGCAAGCGGGTGTCTTGATTGGAGCAAGTGGCTCGCTATATAAACGTGTATTTGGTTGCGAAACTAACCCCATCCCAGCAATGGGTTGTACGCTGGGCTTGGGACCCGCCACGTAAAAACCACTTCCAGTGAAGAAGCAAGGCAAAGCCTCGGATGAGACCCCCCTTATGATGACGACCACGGCAAACGTTTAAAGGACTACGATTTGAGGGCATGCACCTGGAATGTCCGGACCCTTAATAGGGAAGGTGCCTCTGCCCGGCTGGTTGATGTCCTCGTAAGGACAAAAGCTGACATCACCACCATCCAAGAAATGCGTTGGACAGGGCAAGGCAAGCAATGTCTGGGGCCTTGCGACGTCTACTATAGCTGCCATGTAAAGGAGCGCAAATTCGGAGTTGGATTTGAGGTGGGAGGGAGACTCCGTCGCCGAGTACTGTCGTTCACCCCGGTAGGTGAACGTCTAGCCACAATCCGCATCAAAGCGAGATTCTTCAACATCTCGCTCATTTGCGCCCATGCCCCGACGGAGGAGAAGGATGAGGCATCCAAGGATCTCTTCTATGAGCGCTTGGAGCGCACGTACCAGCGCTGCTCCCGTCATGATATCAAAATTGTGCTTGGCGACTACAATGCCAGGGTGGGCAAGGAAGGGATCTTTGGAACCACCGTCGGAAAATTCAGCCTCCACGACGAAACGTCCGACAACGGATTCAGGCTGATCGACTTCGCCGGGGCCTGAAACATGGTAGTATGCAGTACTAGGTTCAAGCATAAAAAGATCCATCAAGCTACGTGGCTGTCTCCGGATCGAAAAACGAGAAACCAAATCGATCATGTTGATAGACGGAAGGCACGCTTCCACTGTTTTAGACGTACGCACACTTCCGAGGCCCAAACATCGACTCGGACCACTATATTGTTGCAGACAAGATACGCACCCGCCTCTGTGCAGCAAAAAATGTGCGCCGAAATATGCAAGGAAAGCTTATCGTCGAAAAGCTGCAAAACCAAAAGACAGCCAGCGCTTTCACTACTCGACTCTCACACCTGCTCTCAGAGTGCACTCTTCAACAAACCGACATATGCGAGCAGTGGAACCACATTTCCCGCTCATTAAGTACCGCCGCCGAAGAAGAAGTCGGATTTCAGCGAGCCCGAACGAACAACTGGTACGATGAGGAGTGTAAGGAAGCTGCAGAGAAAAAAGATGCCGCCTACAGGGCCACGCTGCGATCGGGCGCAACTCGCGCTATGTGGGACCGCTATAGGGATATGAAGAGGGAAGCGAGACGTATTTGCCGCAATAAGAAGAGAGAGGCCGAAATACGTGAGTGCGAAGAGCTTGAAATGCTGGCCGACAGGAAGAATGCCCGAAAATTTTACCAGAGAGTTAGGCGACTTACGGAAGGTTTAAAGACCGGGGCGTACTCCTGTAAGAACAATAATGGCGAACTAGTAACTGATGTCCAGACTATTTTTATTTAGTTTATTTAGTGTTTATTACTCTTTATGAAAATATAGCTGATTACTCAACAAATACCATATAAGTCTTAATTTCAGACTTTGTGAAAAAATATTATGAAAATTCTGCAAAATTTCACCAAAATGTTTAACTTTTAATCAGCGTCTTTACAAATTGGAATGTTTGCAGTTTTGTTGACCATTAAAATTTAGTATAATATGGTGAAAATTTTAAGGAGCTAGAATTACCGTTAATTTTTGTATTTTTTTATATGGAAAATTGCGGAGCACCGTCAACAAAAAATTGCCAAAAATCAACGGTAGTGCCATATACAAAAAATTTAAATTAAAAAAACGCAAAATTTTAATAATTTTTGCATAAAATATCTAACTTGGATTTAAATGGTGTTTGTAAGTAATCCGCTATACTTTCATACAAAAATAATAAGCTAAAATGTCACGTCCCAGTTCATATTTGAGTCACTGTATATTCACATAAAATAAAAATCATTGAAATCGGCCCAGTATTTTAAGACTTTTGGGATTAGAGAAAATTCTCCCCGACATGAAAATTTTCTTAGAGATAAGGCTAGCAGTTTCTAATAGATTTTGGGGCGCCAAATTTGTAAAAATGGAAACTTATGGGTGAGGCTTCCTCAAGTGGGCCCCGAATTTACCAAGATTCATATTGTCCAATGATATTCAGGCAGCGCCGAGTTTTGTAGTCGAAAAGTACACAATGTAAATTTTGTTGCAAAATGCCAAATAGTTTTTTTAATCAACAATTGAAAATTTTTGCAGTGTTTTGGAAATGTTTATTTTTTTTGAAAGTAAGTATCCGAATGAAAAAATTTTTTGGGTGCGGATTTAAAAAACATTAAACTATACAATAAAATTATTTCCGTTACAAAAGTTTTTTTTTTGCTTTTCAATAATTTTTTATGAAAAATTGAACATTTAAACAATTTCAAAAATGCGTGCATTTCGATAAAGTTTGGTCGGAATGAATTTTTATTTGCCAGCATGCGCGCCCAACTCCCGCGCGCATGCGCAACTCGAGCATGAAAAAAAGAAGTGGAACATTCAAACGTGCTTTCTTTCTTGCGCAAAAAGTCAACGCGGTCGCGATCCAGCCGCGAGGGTCGGGCGCGCACGCTGGCAAATAAAAATTCATTCCG